TTTCATGACCGTCATCTCTCAGCTAAATGAGACACAAGCATTAATGAGACAGACCAGACAGGAGTCCAATGGCATCAGTTCCACACGCTTAAGACAATTTAAAAAGAACCAGAAAGACCGTCAGGCACATTATTTTGAGGACAACCACAAACCCATTACATTTCTGTAAAGAGACTTTCTGAAAAATAACACCACTTGATGTCCACAATATTACCTGGTGAACTTCCCAAACGCAGCGGCAATTTCATACACGGCTCTGACATTTCAGCAAGTATTTATGGCGTATTAACACTTCTCATTCAAGAACCTTATTTTCCTTTACAAGTATTAACTGTGTCAAAAACGTTTCATTTATCCTTTAAATGGAAAAGTTCAGCAAAGAGAGATTTGGTTGCCTATTCCACCACGAAGTTGTTTAACTGAGGAGTCAGGCAGCTCCACGACTGCGGAGATATTCAGAGCTCGTGACTGGGTAAATTTATAATATAAATTCCTGCTCTTAACATCACAAGCCATTTCAGTGTTGTGCACAGCTCTCAGACCTGTGCTGAGCCACCCAGGGCAAGTGCCAAAAGCATCTTGGTTTTGCACAAGTGGGTACCTCAAGGTGCAGCTCCACGCAGCGGCTTCGGCTGATGAAAGCTGCAGCTGCCAGGAAAAAGCTCTTCACTTCCCTTCTTCACGGTGCGTTCCCTCTCGCTCCCTCCTGTGCCAGCACTGACACAGTTCAAGGACCTGAGCAAGCAGAAAACGCAGCCAGCAGAAAATACTTGGCCAAATCAGCTCTCACAAATTAGATCACTGTCAGGAAAAGGAGCAACGCTGCCAGAGCAAGGAAAGCATCCTGGGCTGCAGAAAAGGCACAAATAGGATCTCGGCAGAGCTGGCTGCTTAGATTGGCACGGAGTTAAAATCTCTACACCTTTTCCATGAAGATGCAGTGGGGTAAACTGAGTACCAAAATCACGGAACTCCCCTGTCGTTCCCCTGCTCACCGGCACGCCCGAGAGGAGCAATAATTTTTGCCGTTAATTCACTCACAAAAAACCACAAGAGTGGCTCAGCTCACAGCAGCAGAGCCGTGAAATCTATCTCCAAGTGCTCCAGCCGTACTCCTGGAGAAGTCTGACACAGCAAATACAATTTAAGCGCAGCTTTTCGGGGAGATCACTCATGTTGCTGGCCAACAGGCTGCAGAACTACTCCATCTCCCTGTTCGAACCCCGCACCTGAGTGCCATTTCTCTTCACAAGGACAGATTCGTCACGCAGCCTCCGGACAGAGGAGAATCACGTGCAGAGAGACACTTGCTCCACCGACAGTTCCCGATAACTCCAGCTCTGCAGCAGCAGAACAGTATGTGTGGGCAGAGAGTAGGCTTCAATTTCTCTTGCTCCAGTTTCCTTATGGTGTTTCAGCAATGTTTAGGCTGCTAAATCACACCTTTTTTGGAAAACACCCGAGAGCATTAGACAGAAGACCCAAAAAAAAGCAAAGTAATAATTGTCATGTCTTCTCAGTAGACAGACCACCAGACAGCCTGCTAAGGATACATGTCCCAGAGCATATCTGTTCCCTCTCTTCTGTAGAAGCAAGAAAACAGATATAGACCATCCTCAAAAAACCCGAGATCCATTTACTACAAATAGTACCGCTGCAAAAAGAGAGAAGATCTCTTCCTCGGAGGCAAATAGCACCAAGCTTAAGCTGATAACATGATACTGCGCACACATGGAGATGTCTTTGGTATTTTCTCCAGCAGCGGGGTACCGCAGCGAGACACTGGAGCTGACAGGGTGATCATCCTGTCACTAGAAAGGTGACATTTCTGCAGAAGTTGAATGAACACTGGTATTATTCAGCAGGGACAGATGCCTCCCTCTCATTGCAGCATCAAAAGGCGCTGCTAAAAAAAGGTGAATGAACCGTTAAAAGTTCTGGGCTACAGATACCAGCAAGGAAGATCTGTCACGTCAAGTACGAGCGACTGCTAGAGCATAACCACCAGCTGTCAGCCCCCTGACACTCATCAAACAGGGCGGAAAAGCCCTTATCTGGGCTGCAGAGATTTGGCCCAGGCTGAACAACTCAAACGACACAGAAAGTCTGTGCTGCACCCAAAACCTTCTGTCTTTTTCCCAGGCATGTACATACACCCGCAGCAGAGCCTTCCTAACTGGGGTGGGACGCTGCAGCTCGTCCGTGGAATTGGGCCAGAACACCTCAGAATTCCTTCACTGCGTTGTGCTGGAGCAACTCTCCACATCGGCACATCGCTCATCGCCGTCGTAACACAGCTCATGGGTGTCTCCAGCCAAGCACTCGGTCCTACAGCAATTCTTCTCTTCAGAAGGATATTCCACCCACTCCCCCACTGAGGAGCTAAATTAGCTCCGTGCACAAACTGCCAAGCCAAAATTTACACAAGTTTCAAATGGCTCCTGTTGGTACGGCCATACAATCACAGGCAAAGCTGGGTCCGGTACAAGTAAATAACTTCAAACTGTGTTTTCCTCAACAAGGCTGGTCTAATATTTTGACAAACTCATTTTTTCATTTGCTTGTTTTCTAGCACTCTAGCACCTAACTTTAAAAGGTCACTCTGTCTCCTCCCTGACGAGTTGGGTATTATTCTTCCATTCTCAGAGAAGGTCAAAAATACCTAATATCTGCATGTTCAGTATTTAAACACTGCACAACGTTGTGCCACCTAGCAAATACTACACCGCAGCGCTTGGTGCAGTTATTAGGAAATCCAGCTACAAAAATAAGCTGCTGAAAACAGCTCTCTTGTATTTCCCACAAAGGACAATTTCCAGCCCACCACGAGCACACATTATGACTTTTGTAGCGAACCGTAAGGAGATAACCTCGCTGCGATGTGTTTGACATGCAGAGATGCACAATGTACACGTGCAAAAGCTTATCCGTGTGAATTGCGGAGTCATGCGATACTGTTCTAGCATGATGAATAAACTTCTTTCATTACGATGTGGAGGAACTGCGCCGTTTCCCTTACGCACCCTGCCATGAATCCGCTTCCTCCGAATTTTCCTCCTCCCCCCAACAGCAGGCACATTTAAATAAGTACTTTTAAACCTGAGTTTTCTACTCCCCTTGCTGCAAACCTAAGACCTCCTTTCAAAAAAAAAAAATTATCCTTATTCTGAAAAACACGATAGAAATAAATTAGCCCTGGGATCAAAGTCTGTCTTACTGTCTAAGGTAAAAAAAAAAAATCCAACCCACTCCAACGAAATTAACCTATAAAAAGCCCACAAGATTTTGAACAAAGAAATGGAAGATTTCCTTCCTTCCACGTCACTCAACGCTCATCTCTTACCCTAAAGCAGCAAGAGATTATGGATCTTAAAGTGCTCCTTTTACGCATCGTAAAAACGCTTTTGGAAGCTTTTCCGACTCCCTTCGACAGCCGTGCTGTCAGGCCAACAGCAATGAAACCTTTACAAGTGGCTTATTACATTTTTCTTGGCATGTATTTTACAGAAAGCTTGGTCAAATATTTTCTCCCCAGCACGGAAAGCACGTTCACTCTCTACATGCGCACAACTACACATGCTTCCATACAAAAGTTTTATCAATGTTGGGTTGGAATAGCCAGTACAACTCTCCCAATTTCATCACTCCTGAGGAATGAAACCATCACAAAGTCTCACCAATAAGGGGGAATTACCAGCCTTGTCATTCTGCTTCAATTAAGACAAAATCTTGGCGGATTCCTACCCCTAAGGTTTTTTACTCCTGGAGCAAAGTCTGCAGAACTCAAAGCTCTTAAAGTTTTTCTGGAGCTCACGGATGACCCAAGACCATTCTTCATGTCCTTAACTTTAATTCTGCCCCTTAACAGGCTCAGACAACTTCAGTTCTTTGACATTCTTTGGTTTAGAAACCCATCATCAACCTCTGGTTGGACATTCCTAATCAGAATTTTGCAAGAACAAATACTGAAGGGAGGTGAAAATTTTTATCACTGAGAAAACCCATCAAGATTTCTTGACTGAAAATACTAACTCCTCTAGAAAGATAAATACATGGAGAAGTAGACAGTGGAGGTGATCAAAGGCCCATACCTTACAGTTACCATGTCCAAAAAGTACCTAAATTCAAACCATGCACACAGCTGGAGATATATATATCTAATAAAAAAAGCTGTGGGCTTCACTGCACAAACAAGCTTGCAGAGCAACAGCTAAACAGATCTGTGCTCTAGAACGAAAACCTGTGTTACAGTAGGAGGCAGAAAGCATTTCTTATGAACAGGCCAGAGGTGGAACGACCACCATAAATCTTGCCACCTCTTGTAATTAATGCCAGGCTCACTTCTTTGACCTCCTCTGTGAAATACTGGGCAAGGTCTGCAGCTGTGCACTATATATAAAGGTAATTCCAAAATAAATAAATATATTTTAAAAAGTCTAATGTGCCTGTGTTAGCCTCACAGCAAGAATGAGAGAACAGACATGTGACAGATGATAGCTCAGCTGCTTGCGAAGTCTCAGATTCCAAGGTGATAGACATGGGACCAGAATAAAGTCTAAGCAAGGTACAGCTTTAGCATGCTACAGTTAAGAATCAAATCAGAATTCCCTGAAAACATACTGGCAGCAAGCGTCTCAGCTGACTATAACCAAGCCATAATGACAGGAGAAGACAAGCGATTAGAGCTGTGACACTTTCTAAGACAGGCATGACATGGTAACACAGAACAAAAATGTCACTGTTTGAAAGCTTCTGATAAATCACTTGGTAGGCGAAACGAATCAACCTTTCCATACACCGTAAGAATGCATCCATAGATTTTTTTTTTTGCTGATATTTAAGCTTTGTGGAGTTTAACAGTCTGTTTTAAATGTGGCCACTTACCAGAAATCAAGACAAATTCCAGCACAGTCATCTCTTGAGCATGACAGGTATTCTCGGGTGTTCTGGTTGCAAAAGCTGTTTCAAGCTGAAAATTTGCTCACTGGAAGAATTCTTACCTGCAAGACATCCTGGATCTTCACCCACACATCGACCATGTCATAGAGTTTGACATCACCATCATACTGGCTGCAAGGAGAGGCCACTGTTTGCTGAAGGTGTCCAAGGACCACAGAGTGTGCAGCAGCCACAGCGTTGAACTTGTCAAAGAGCAGCTCCAGCAGTTCCAGCAGTAACCTGTAAACCATGGGGACAACCTCTACTCAGTTTTGTGAAGACACTGCAGGCATGCAGCGCATCAGAGCAGCGCGGCAGGAGCCGGACGACCGCGACTCCACGTGTCCTGTTTCATGACAGTTGCTGCGTACAAGCTTCAAAACCTCTCTCTGGGCTTCAGGTGACTCCAGGTGTCAACAGGTCAGGTTTACTCTCTAAATACTTCTGAGTATTTAGAGAGCGCTCCCTCCTCTATATAGGAGTTGCCCACTTTTCATGCAGTTTACTGAGGGCTACAGGAAGACAAACTTAATAATTTTATAGTAAATACACTTTAGTGTCGCGATAACAGAGACCAGGGGTAGCCAACATGGATTTACCAAGGGGAAATCCTGCTTGACTCATCTGATATCCTTCTGTGAAGCTGTGACCAAATCGGGAGGTGAAGGGAGAGCAGTAGGTACCCTATACCTTGACTTCAGTAACGCTTTCGACGCTGTTCCCCATCACATCCTCACAGGAAAACTCAAGAAGTGTGGGATAGATGGTTGGACAGGTATATTGTGAACTGGCTCAACAACAGTTCAGAGGGTTGTGCTCAGCGGCACAGAGTCAAGTTGGAGGCCTGTGGCCAGTGGTGTTCCCCAGGGATCAGTGCTGGGGCCAGTTTTGTTCAATATCTTCATCAATGATCTGGATGAGGGGACAGAGGGAACCCTCAGCAACTTCGCTGGTGATACAAACCAGGAGGGGTGGCTGACACCCAGGCAGGCTGTGCTGCCATCCAAGGAGATCTGGGCAGGCTGGAGAGCTGGGCAGAGGGGAACCCCATGAAGTTCAGTAAGGACAAGGGTAGAATCCTGCATCTGGGCAGAAGTAACACCAGGCACCAGGACAGATCAGGGGACGTCCTGCTGGAAAGCAGCCC